ACGACACTAGGAATAGAGGAGAGAGTTCATCATCCTGAAGATTGCAGAGCTTGAGCGGCGTTAGGACGAGATACAAAAAGAGCTCGTATTGCTGAACGGCATGCCATCGGAACGCGACCTGGATGCTTGCACTAGTGCAAACCCGGCCATTAGAGACGTTTCAAAACTGCTCCGTGCGGCGCTTCTACGCGCCTCTAATTTTCTGACGCAATTCAGGATTGGAGGCGCTTCTTGGACTTAAAAGCGCCTGTAATTAACATTTTCTATTTAATTTAAAAGAATCTCTTGCGGCACTTTTATGCACAGAACTGACAGAAGCGCCGCGTGCCCATTTTTTTATTATTAAAACGTACCGCTGTTTTCACTTCATAAGCGCCTTTAATTTTTTTATGTTGGGGGCAATTTGCGATGCTTCCCGATCAAAAGCGCCTTTAATTTCTCAATTTTTAGAAAACACGCTTTCGTATTTAACATAATACGGAACATATATTAGAAACACACATCTACAAACATTATAAAGCTAATTCCTTAACTCATAATAAAATTAAATATTGTTGCATTATAATATTATGATTTACAAAATCAACTCTGCAAATGTTCAAACTTTCAATTACAAATGAAAATGAACTACCTTAAAGTCTTGTATATGTTCATAATTTCTACACATCCATAACTTCGTATACAGAAAACTAGACCATGTGTTTTTGCTATCACTAAACTCTTCCAGTGCATATAGTTGAAATCTTGAATTCCAAACCTGAAATATGCATATGAACATAAATGAAATCAATAATATTTAAACTGACAAACAATATTAATATATTATTAAATACGGAGTATTAAGTTAAAAAATAGAGGATTCTCTAAATAATTAACAAGTTTGAGTCTACACAAAGATGAACTACTAATAATAATGTTTTTTAGTAAAAAAAATAATGTTTTTAGTAAAACAACAGTAATAAAAAATACACGTACCAAGAATCCGTGATTATTAGGGGGTGTTTGAATCTGATTCCTAAAACTAATTATGTTACTTTAGGGAGTAGAAGCAGAAGCTGGAGTGTTTGAGTGAAAGTGCAGAAGTGATTCTGGTGCTATAATTTACTCCTAGAATCAGTTTTTCAGAAGCTGGTCCCCCAGCTTCTGATTCTGATTCTACTTTAAAAACTGATTCTGCTTCTACTTTGAAAAAGAAGGAGCTAGAATCCATTCCAAAAGAAAGACAATTAAGCCAACTTCAACAAAAGACTGAGACTTCGTGAACTTTCTTCACCGGGCCACCTCTTCACTTTAAGAATGATAAAGCACTGAAGTATGATTGAATTCATTTGAAAAGAACAATAACTTAACCCAGTGACTATATTAATACTCCAAATCCCTATTTTAAAAGCCATTTGGAATGACGAGCATATTAAAAAAGGTTAAAGCTTGGCTACAAATATACGAACTGTTCATTAGATCTAGATTTAGAGCAAAATTATAAAACTGCAGGTAACAATGAAGACACTTAGACACGCAGCACTATGTAAGTTAATCAAACCGTCATCAAATAATAAATTGATACTCCCTCCGTCCCAAATTGTTTTGTAAAGTCAACATTTTTTGGTCAACCAATAATAAAAGTCAAACCTTCTTATTGATAATGAATTCAATTTTTAATTATTAAAATTTACATATTCATAAACTACATTGAAATCTCTTTAAAGTTGTAAACTCCAAAATGAAATATAATTAAAAATTGACACCCTAATTAAGCGAACAAAACGAATCTGTTTGACCAAGAAAAATCAAAATTGCAACTCAATTTGGGACGGAGGTAGTATATAATAGAAAAACAAGCATGCCTGTCTTTTCGGGCGAGACTTTACGTGTATGAGGTTGCGGGTGAGGAGGCGGAGACTGCGAGGCGGCGATATATAGTCGTATAGTCGGCGGCGGAGCAGAGATAGTGGAGCAGACGGAGGCAGGACGCCGATAGTTGAGAAGGCGGCGGCGGGACGAAGATATTCAAGCAGACAGTAGCAGAACGAAGATAATATAGCAGGCAGCGGCGGGACGGAGATAGTCGAGGAGTCAGCGGCAGAATGGCGTTAAAAGAGCAGTCGGCTGTGGCAGAAGATGTCCGGAGTTTTGCAACTGCTTCTGCTTAAAAAAAAGCACTTTTGGAGATGTAAGGAAAAAGTGATTAGTAGTAAAAGTTGATAGTGTTTGTGAAAAAAGTGATTTTGAAAAGTAAAAGTTAGGCAGTGTTTTCCATTACTTAAAAAAAGTGTTTTGGAGCTTTTTAATTAAAAAAAGTCAAAAAAGTGTTTGGTAATCCTAACTTTTGCTTAAAAAAAGTGCTTTAAAGTCAAAATCTAAAAGCTAGAGCGTACCAACTTCTAATAGCTTCTAGGTAAACTTGTAATTACCTCCAACTTTATGACTAATAATAATGGCAATTAAATCCCCTAACCCCCCAACTTTATTCGTATACCCTCCCTATGTCCAAAAGTTTAAAGGGTGATTTTGTACTTTTGAAAAAATTATTCCATCATAATCACTTTTTTATGAAACACTCCAACTTTTACATTTTAATTAAAATCACTTCTATTCCCAAACACTACCAACTTTTACTACAAATCATTTTTCCAATAATCTATTAAAAAAATCACTTTTGAAAAGCACAAACAATCGCAAACACTCCCTTAGTAGTGCTGGGTAAAATAAGTGTTTTTTGTGTAATAGAAAAGGGAAAATCACTTTTCACACGCAAGTCGAGAAAAAGTAAAAATTGGTAGTGTTTGATAAATAAGTGCTTTTTAAGACAAAAGCTGAGAAGTGTTTTTTTTAAGTTGTTGCAAACACTCCCGCAATCGAGCTCAATCGGCGTTTCTACTTATTGTCTCTGTCGATCGTTACGTTTATGCAGACCTAGGGTTTTAATTTTGTAAGTTGGAACACCGTAGAAAACTAGAAACCTTATCGTCAACTAGCACTGACACGTCTTTCAATTTTTAAATTAAAACAAAGGACATTGGCGTGATAGAACTCGCATTAGCGTGAAGTTATTTTGATTTTAATTAAACAAAGGACAAATTAGTCTTATTGGAGTGACATTAAGTGATCATTGTGGTGCGCCGAGCAACACCCTTTCACAGGCGCTTGCATAACTAAAGCGACACACGCCTATCAGTTTTCAAATTTCAAAAACTGATTTTACAATCGCAGGCGTTTATTACTAAACAAGTGCTGCACGATGTTCACATATCGTAAAATAAATATATCCGAAATTTCATTTGGAGGCGCTTATCCTCTAGAAGCGCCGCACGATTTAACAAAAAATAATAAAAAAGAAAATATCAGAAACGAGAGGCGCTTGTAAGTAAAAGCGCCTCAAATGAAGCGCCTTTGTTTGGCATTTTTCCATTAGTGTTGGCGTCATACGACCCGTAGGACTTCTTTCAATGTGTTTGGACACATACACGACTATGATTGCGCTTGCAAACGGCTCCACCGTTCATGCCGAGCATCATCTGATTTCCCCGCTCGAGCCCGTCGAGCGGTCCTGACCGCACATGAAACATGGTAATCGGTCCGACAATCAGATAATACATATGCACACATAAATACTGATATGTGTTATTTAATAATGCATAAACATCACATTTTAGAATGGTTTTACATTGTGTTTACTCAGCTTTTGTACAACTACGATGTAATCTTTATCTTCTAGAATTAAACTAGAATTAGAAGATATTAAGATATTTTGACATGTAAGCAAGAAATGTGATGAAAAGAAGATGAAGGAGCTTGGGAGCAAAATGAAGGAGCATTGGAGACAAGAGGGAGCTTCATGGGAGACGAAGAAATGTGAAAAATATGATTTGTTATTACACCCGGTCAGGTGTATGCAATACCCAATCGAATGTGATTTGACCTGGAGATCATGCGAGCTCAAATTTGATTTCCCCTTTTTAGAAACCAGTCAATCCCCTATTTCGTATAGACATTATTCGTGTATTATAGTTAGTCCTTTGAGCTTGTTTTTACTATATTGAAACTTGAGATTTGTAAGTTGTGAATTAATAATATTATTTCTTTAATTTTTCTCTCTTGAATATAAATTACTTCCATATTCGTATTTCATATTGATATTTGAGCGCTAAGTGATCAAGTAGTTGATGTTTTCATATTAATTATTACTAGAATCGATCAACGAATGCCCTTGTTATTCACTTAGTCCTTTTAGAAGTAGTATACTTATATTGATAATGCATGCGTCTCATGGTTAATAATGTAAGAGAGAGTAATTATATTAATTAAACCAAAAAATCACTTGTGTTGAGGTTGTCAATCTTAATTGATTTCATCAGAATACAAATAAATAATTTAGATAGAATAGTTGGACCTGAGTTCCTCGTTGTAATAGCCGAGAATATTCACCTCGGGTTACAAGTTATCGTTCTTAATTTATTTCATTAATTAATTAAATCGACCAAATGGTACTATTAAGATCAACATATTGCGCTAGTTATTAAGGAACACGTCTCGCCATTAATAGTTATTCTAGATGAATTGAAATTTCTCCACAATTAAGTATTCTCAAGAGGGATATTAAAGTAATAACAATGATCAATGATCACTTCACTAAGTGGAAATTAACCGTCGAGTCGTTGCTTAGGCTGGACTGAAATTGAGACCGGAGCGGGATCAGTTCCACTACTAAGCGTACATATGTAAATTTATTGTGGCAGCACTACAACATTCATGAATTTTGAATTAGGAAAACAAGTAAAACTCACCTGTCTAATTCAGAAAACATAGATATATCTCATTTTTTAATTTCGAAAATATGCATAGTAATCACAATTTCCTATCTTCCTTCATCTAGTTTCAACTTTCAACAAATTCTTTCGGTAAACATATTTTCTTTATTCTTTGTTATATCCCCCGTAATTTGTGAAATTTCGCAATAATGTTCACGTCATGTCGTCAAGTAGTCCACTAGTGTGAAAATGGAAAAACCCTACCGCCTGTATTCCGCACAAGGGTATTTACGTAAACGAAAGCTTCTGGTTGCCCTAATGCATCATTTCTCACCTATATATACTCTCAAACTCATCAGAATCATCCCTGCTTTGTATTCTCTCATCTTTGCTCGGCCGCAGCATTCACTCAACTAAAGGTTAGTAGATCTACAAGATTGTTTAATAATTTATGAGTGCCGCGTTTATATATAGAAGCATTTCATGTGGTCTCTTAATTTTAACCATGCTTTCTTAATGAATCAAGCTGTTTGCTTTGTTTTTATTTAAATAGTAGTAGAAATGGTGTTTAAGTACGTGTATCTCCCGTATCTTTGTTTATATTGAACGTCTAGATCCTTACTGATCGAGATCTTTGTTACTCGCGCTATTGCTCGGTCAGAGTTATCTTTGAGATTTTCTCTGTATTCCTTGTTCAGAAGGCCTGGAGTATTGTAAATTTTTGCTTGATTTTGATTATATGTGTGAGAACTAACTATTTTGAAGATCTCGATGTCTTATGTTAGCTCATCTCTGTTTGTAAGTTATACGGAGTTTTTTTATTGCCATAATTTGTTGTAATCCATGATAAGATTTTGTCTGGGGTATTGTCAATTGATGGTTTATTTTATAATAATGTGTGAGATGTGTCTGATCTGAAGATCTGGGTGTCGTTCGTTGTGTCAACCAAGTCACAAAATATTTTCAGACACTATACAGTGATATGTTCTTATAAACTTTGAATAGCATATGCTGAGTTTTATGATATTCTATATGTGGTTATTAGTCGTTGGGCAAGTTATTAAATGGAAAACGTGTTTACTATTGCTGAGACTCCATTTTAATCTCTATTTGCTGACAGGTATCATAATCCACCATGGGTAAAGAAAAGATTCACATCAGTATTGTGGTCATTGGCCATGTCGACTCTGGGAAGTCAACCACCACAGGTCATTTGATCTACAAGCTAGGAGGTATTGACAAGCGTGTGATTGAGAGGTTTGAGAAGGAGGCAGCTGAGATGAACAAGAGGTCCTTCAAATACGCATGGGTTCTTGACAAACTCAAGGCTGAGCGTGAGCGTGGTATCACAATTGATATTGCTCTGTGGAAGTTTGAGACCACTAAGTACTACTGCACTGTCATTGATGCTCCTGGACATCGTGACTTCATCAAGAACATGATCACTGGAACCTCGCAGGCTGACTGTGCTGTCTTGATCATTGATTCTACCACTGGTGGTTTTGAAGCTGGTATCTCCAAGGATGGTCAGACCCGTGAACATGCTTTGCTTGCTTTCACTCTTGGTGTGAAGCAGATGATTTGCTGCTGCAACAAGGTTTCTTTTATAAACTGCCCCTATTTAGTTCTGAATGATTTAATACTATGTTGATATTTGTATTAACAGTAATCTTTTATATTAACTAACATTTGCTGATGATCTCTTGATGTTTAATTTGTAGATGGATGCTACGACCCCCAAGTACTCAAAGGCTAGGTATGAAGAAATTGTCAAGGAAGTGTCATCCTACCTGAAGAAGGTCGGCTACAACCCAGACAAGGTCCCCTTTGTTCCAATCTCTGGTTTTGAGGGAGACAATATGATCGAGAGGTCTACAAACCTTGATTGGTACAAGGGACCAACCCTTCTTGAGGCTCTTGACAATGTCAATGAGCCCAAGAGGCCGTCTGACAAGCCCCTCCGTCTCCCTCTTCAGGATGTGTACAAGATTGGTGGCATTGGTACTGTACCTGTTGGCCGTGTTGAGACTGGTGTGATTAAGCCAGGTATGGTGGTCACTTTTGGGCCAACTGGTCTGACCACTGAAGTAAAGTCTGTTGAAATGCATCATGAGTCTCTTCCAGAGGCCCTTCCTGGTGACAATGTGGGATTCAATGTGAAGAATGTTGCTGTTAAGGACATCAAGCGTGGGTATGTTGCATCTAATTCCAAAGATGACCCTGCCAAGGGAGTTGAAAGTTTTGTCGCACAGGTCATCATCATGAACCACCCTGGTCAGATAGGAAATGGTTATGCCCCGGTTCTTGACTGCCACACCTCCCACATTGCTGTCAAATTCTCTGAAATATTAACCAAAATTGATAGGCGATCTGGTAAGGAGCTTGAGAAGGAGCCCAAGTTCTTGAAAAATGGTGATGCTGGAATGGTGAAGATGGTTCCCACCAAGCCCATGGTTGTTGAGACCTTTGCAGAGTACCCGCCTCTTGGGCGTTTTGCTGTGAGGGACATGAGGCAAACTGTTGCTGTTGGTGTTGTCAAGAGTGTGGATAAGAAAGAGGCTTCTGGTGCTAAGGTTACTAAGGCCGCCCTGAAGAAGAAATGAATCGTGTCTTTGCTTCCTCAGAGTGTGCTGTTTTGGTCAATGTGTTGTCCTTTAATAACTCGTTTGTTTGATGTCCATTCTCAGAATTGGGTGCTGGATAGGCGGTGGAGAGACTTTTCTTTTCTGTTGGTCTTTGTTTTGTGAGTTTTTTTTTTGTATTGGGTGCCCTTTGCTATCGTTAACCAACGGGCTCTCTGAGTTTTGTTGTCATTCAGTTTATGTTGGACTCTATGAGAAATGTAATGCTGGTTTCCTAGCTTTTATGTTAAAATACAATATGTGTTTGTTATAAGCTGTTTTACAAGTCCATGAAAAAACATATGTCGTCGTGTTCTTATTTTTAGGTAGATGTGGGAACCAAGCACATTATCTAACATATCTCGAGTTGGATGTCCTTTGCAGTTTGCGGTCTCTATAACTATTAGGAACAAAGAACCTTTCAAAAATATAAATGAAATAGAATTCAGAGCAAGTGAGCTTTTTAAATAGCACCCTGGTCTCTATAACTATTAGGAACAAAGAACCTTTCAAAAATATAAATGAAATAGAATTCAAAGCAAGTGTGCTTTTTAAATAGCATCCTGGTGATGTGAAATGCTTGACGGTACACATAGGGATGGACTCGGGCCGGGCCAACCGGCCCGGAACCGGACCGGCCCGCTACTGTGCGGGCCTGGACCGGCCCGGTGAACCGGTTCGGTTCCGGTTCGGGCCTCCCGGCCCGGTGGTATACCAGTCCGGGCCCGGGCCTCCAGTTTAGTGAACCGGCCGGGCCGGGCCCGGTTCGGGCCGGAATTTAAATTTTTTTTTTTTTGAATTTTTTTTAAGTTTTGGGTTGGATTAGGTATTTTGGCCCATTTGAGGTGGTTTGGGGTGGAGGGGTAGGGGTAGGGGGTTAAATAAGAGAAGAAGAAAAAAAAAAAACATTCCGGGTGGCCCGGCCCGGTTCTGGCCCGGAACCGGAACCGCCCACCACCGGTTCGGGCTCGGGCCTCCTTTTTCTGAACCGAGGCCCGGCCGGGCCCAGGCCCGAACCGGGCCCAGGCCCGAACCGGGCCCGAACTGGAACCGGTCCACCCCTAGGTACACAAAATGTGTACACAAGACATGTAGATTTAGGAATAAAGAATCAAATAGAAAAAATAACCAAGACATTATAAGAGACTCTTGAATACCAATATTTTATTGGGAAAATTAATAAAAAATATCCCAAACTTTGAAGGGGTGTTAGGTAAACATCCCAAAAATGTATTTTTATGTATTATTTCTTTCAAAAATGTAAATTTATGGGGTATTGCATAATTTAAAATAGAAAATTAAAAGTGTTGCAATTCTATGGATTTGGGATAACATTATCTATTTTCTAATAGAAGTTTAGAATGTTAATCGTGTCTTCATAAATTCTAAAATATTTCAAATTATGCAATTAACACAATAAATTTACATTTTTGAAAGAAATAATATTTGAGTATGATACTAAAATAAATTTTTTATATAAAATTTGGGGTATTTAAATTACATGTGCAAGTTGGGGGTTTTCATCTCACACCCCTTCAAAGTTTGGGGTATTTTATTGATTTTTCCATATTTTATTACATTCGATTTTTTTTTTTTTTTTGCATTTTAACACTCCGTAAGAGTTTTAGATCTCCATCTCCACAGAAAAATCGAAATTTATCAATTATTCTTCCCTCTATTTACTAGAAAAGATATCTTTTTGGTTATGTTTTGATAATTATCACAATTCTTGTATAAAAATTAGAAACTGTAGTATTATCGTGACTAAAATCGATTAGTTTGACTGGTTATTCCCACCCATTTCTACTAGATTATCCAATTTCCCCAAAACTCTTCACAAAAAAAAGATAACTTTTTGACAAATTTATATGTTAAATGAGCATAACTGAGTAATATTGTACCTATAGACCTATAGTACTAGTAGTTATATGTTGGATAAATGACTTTTAGAGAGCTGTTTAAAGTTTTATGATTTTCTCTCGCAAGAAAAAGTTAGTTATATTTCATCCGTTCTCTAATACACGTCTCTCTTTTTATTTTGAGATGTTCTCCAATACATGTCTCTTTTTCCCTTTTTAGAATTTTTTCCCAATAAATATACCTATATATACCCTCATTCTCTTTCATATTTTTTTCATTCTCTTTCCTACTTTTTCCATTACACACAGCCCATTATACCTTTTATCTTACCCCTATTAATTCTTTCTTAAAACTTCTCCCAAAGGCTATACTCCCATTTATTAGAGAACGGAGGGAGTATGATTTTCTTTAAAAGGCACCATTACGTGCAATATTCCCTTAAACCGATTTTCTTTTGAATCTTGGTTAAATACTCAAATCACTAACCTATGAAAATGAACTAGTACTAACGCCAATGGGTCAATTGAGCTGATAAATAATTGAAGGAAAAACTATCAAATAAGTCTCTCTACTTTTCAAAAAATCAATTATGCCCCTCAACTAAAATACAACTCAATTAGACCCTTGTAGTCATTTAAAACGGGCAAACTCCATCTTTAACCGGTAATGAACAAGTGAGCCGGTTACTATTCACACGTGGCAACCCACGTAATTGTTTCCATTTTCCATTTTCCATTTTAGTTTTTCTTTCTTTTTCAGCCCCACCTTTCTCCTTTCTCCTTCCACCGACCCTTCCAGCAAATTACTTTATACTCCATCCGTTTCTAAAAGAAACTCACACTTTCCTTTTTGGGATGTTTTAAAACAAAGTCACACTTCCCTTATTTCCTTATTTGGCAAAGAAATCTACATCCAAACAGTGTCAAACAGTGTCCAAACAGTGCCAAAAAGTGTGTAAACAGTGTTTTCAACAGTAAAGTCAATTTATTTCCTTAATAATAGTGAAGTAGCTTTCTTTTGGAAACGGAGGGAGTAGCTTTCACTCCTGCTTCCTGCTTCCATCTTTTCCATCCACCATTACTTCTCTCCCATTCTTCTTTCTTCTCCCAAGCGCTCCACTGTGAAGAGACTGAGAGAAACCAAGGTCGCCGGAAATGGTAGATTACACATCTCACGCCGGACACCTCCTTTTTGCAGAACAATCGTTCATCTTCCACGAATCAATGGTTGGATGTCGGGGAAGGTGCTTCGTTTAAGCTCCTGGGTCAGCAACACAAGTCGGTGGCTGCAGTATGGCCATATGATGCTCCGTGAAACCTCCAAACTATTTCCAGACCGGCAGCTTCAATCCGGCCGAATTGAGACCCTAATCCGCGGTGTAGAAGAAGGGTAGGCGGAGGAAGGTGATGACTAGTATAAGGTGGGTGACTTTTGAAGTGAGACCAGAATCTGGGAGCTGAGAACTAGGGAAAGAAGAAGAAAATGGGGAAAGAAAATAATTGAGGTCTAGAGCGCAGGGAAGAAGAAGGGGGTTGGAAAGAAAAATAAAAACAAAAGGAAAAAGAAGAAAATGACACATCATATGCCACGTGCACAATTCAACCGGAAATATGAAGTATACCGGTTATTAGGTAAGATTTGAAATTTTTAAATGGGTTTGAGGGTCTAATTGAGTGGTATTTTAGTTGAGGGGCATAATTGAGGGTCTGATAGTTTTCCCATAATTAAATAATACTGGGTTTGTTCCCTGGTACCTAGGTCGTGTCCTGGGTCTAGTTAGGCCCACTCTCGGGTTAAACGACGCGACAATACTTGATCCAGACATTACCCCTACACAAGTCTCCTACTCCCTTGATCGAAAAGTAGACCATAAAAGGGAGTAGTTAAGTTGCTTTGCACTTGACTCTTTACTCAGAAGTCTAGACTAGTTTGCGGCCCTGTTTACGAACCTTGAACTTGATCCCCACTGCTTGTGAAAGGTCAAGGATCTCCCTTGTATAGTTGACATCCCGGTGTCTTCGTTGTCATGATAGAAGTCTAGGGTCTTCCTTGCCTGGTTAGCAATCCATGGTCTTTCTTGTCTGGTTAGCAGTCCGTGGTCTTTTTTATCTTGTTAGCAGCTCAAGGTCTCCTTTGTCTGGTTAGCAGTAAAGGTCTCCCTTGTGTAGTTTAGAACTCAGGGTCTACCTTGCCTCGCTTGGTGACAGTCCAAAGTCTCCCTTGTCTGATTAGGAGCCTGGGCGCTCCCTTGTCTGGTTAGCGCCTTAGCGGCACATGTTCTTCATTGTCTGTTTGGCAGCTCAGGTCTTCTTTGTCTTGGCAGGATGACCTCCTCCATTGTTCTTGATGAGGAAGCGTCTCGTTAAAATCCTACTAAGGAACCCCTATGCGAAAAAATCCAGTGAAAGAAAAAGAGCACTTTAATGCCATAAAATGGAGCAAAGGAACGCGAGTCTCCTCGGAAGAGATTCCTCACACCCAGGTCTAGTCCAATCGCAACTACATCACTGCTATCATGACAACAAGCCTGGTCCTGACATTTTTTGGGCCCGGGGCAATACAAACACAGTAGGCCTCGGGGATGACATGTAAATATTTATAATATTTTTTTATATAAAAATATATTAGTAAAATTAAACAGTTTTGTCATCCAAATATGAGTATAAAACTTCAAATAAATCTTTAAAGCAGACAATTAGAAAAAATATTATTGAAATATTTGGTATGTGACATTCGAGGATACATTGTTCCTAAACCGACAAACTGAAACATATACAACTATTAGTTGCAACAAAGAATTTTGAATTAAGGAAAGACTTGAAAGATATATCGTATAAAGAGTAACCTTTTTCAGATTTTAAATCACATTATTACTAGACTAAAACAAACAACAAGTTACTAAATTATGAATATTATAGTTTAATCTTTCACTTAAATAAGAGAATCACACCAAATTAATGAAACTATCAAAGAATCATGAGTATAAATGAGAGAACTAGAGTAAAAGAACATTTATACGCTAACTCATAATGAATCAAAAGAAATGGTAAATTATGTTCTCAATGAATTGTAATGTGGACGTTCTAATAACGAATTGAAAGTATCTAAAAACCATAATCTTGATTTTATTTTCAATTTTTATTAATAGATTTTTAATTTTATATAATTAATATTAATATATATACACATAATTGAGAAATTTATGGGCCCTAGTGGAGCAATGGGCCCTGGGCGCATGCCCCGTTGCCCATGCCCCAGGACCGGCCCTAATCACGAGCTTGGTCCGATCGACATGAAATTAGGCATGATTGGACAATTGATTAAATATTTCTCCTCAAATATTACTGAAATATAACTTACACATAAGATGTTACTACAATTATTATATGCATAGTCTCTGTACTGTAATGTTGAACACAATCATGAATTATTATAGTCTTTAAAGTATAAAAAGTCATATTTTTATCCACTACCTTGATGCGGTCTTATGTTCACCATAATAGGAGTAAAATTTTAGAACAATGTTCCAAG